GGTATTTTTAAAGGGGGAATTTCAAAAATAACCCTTTTCCAATACCATTTTTTAAAAATACCCCTCTTTCTAATTTTATCAAAAAGTCACAATAAAAATTGAAATTTATCAAAAAAATATGTATAAACTTATATTTATGGACACAAATTATCTTTACATGTGTGTAAATTTATATATATATTTCATAAGTACCGTATAAATACCTTTTAAAAATCATATAAAAAGCTTATAAAAGCTGTGTAAACCTTATAAAAATTGTGTAAACCTTTTAAAAACCTTATAAAAACCATATAAATGCCGTTTAGAACCATTTAAAACCTTCTAAATATTTGGATTTAGTCTCCCAGTAGTAATGATGATCTTGATGTACCTTATCAACCATATAAAAGTTTATAATTTTTTATATTTGAAAAAGGGTATTTTTGAAAATGAATAGAAAAGAGGAATATTTTTAAAAAGGGGTACACCAAAAGGGGTATTTCTCAAAAATTCTCATTTTTAAAAGTGTATTTTTTAAATTCTCCCAATATCATTCCTATTTTTATCATTAACAATATTATTGTTTTGTCAAAAAATACTTAAAAGCACTAAAGAAAATTACTATCAAAATTGAACAATTAATCAACGAAGATTTGGATGTATGCTTCTATTGTATGATGTAAATAAATAAAATGTAAAAATGTCATAAAAATTAAAATTTATTTAATATATTTTTTATAAGTAATAAATAAATTAAAATAATTAAATAAATATACAACAACCCGCGCATATGCGCGGGACATTACCTAGTTATTATGAAAGTCAACAATAGCAATAACATGTTAAGTAATATTATATATCGTTAATATTATCATGTTAATTAATCTACTATTGTGTTAAATCATTTATTATCCTGTTAAAAACAAACATATAGTTTATCGATATCAATTATGTTATACTGCTAAAAGAATTGTTAAATGTATAGGGTTTTTTTGGTCTAATATATAAGTTGATGATAGATAACTAATTATACATATACGACTACTATTCACTTACTTTTTCAGTCAATTGAGTATATAATTTTAACTCACCATTATTATAATAATAATAATATTATTATTATTATTTATTTTGTACAAAATTTTCCATAAAATTATAAAGAAAAAATATGAATTAAAATAAAATCCAAAAGACAAGTTTCCCATATACTACTAAAAAGGTCAAAACATACAAAAGTCATTTCAGACATAATGATTTTGATGACTTTGTCTATTTTTTCTCAACCATCCAAAATGGCCGTGGGAATAGAGAGACCCCTCTTGAGTCTTGACCTTACATCACATTCATTCACTATTTAATCCTCCAACTCCATTCAATAAAGATTCTCTATTCAATTATTCAACTCTCTTTTTCCCTATACATTCGCATGCATCTCTGTCTTATGATTTAGAACGAACCTATTCTGATTCCTATTTATCAAGTCATACATAACTTTGTGCCATTTTAGTATCACAAAATGCATAAATGACATATGAGCTAGTTATTATTGAGCCATTGATTAAATAAGTTGAGAAATGAGCATGTCATATGGGTTGAGATATATTTTGAGCCGTTGTCCTAGAGAACACAACTTCAACCTACCTTCAAAAACTTTTCAATGTTCTAAAATGTTTTATTATTAGATACTACAATATCTTATATCGAAAACTGGACAAGAATTCTGATAAATATATGATATATAGACATTTCCACTAATTATCGATTGATTATAAATTGGAAGTCCATAGTCTAATAGTTATACACCAACGGAATAAGGCTATGATATAATACATAATACATATATGGACTATTCATGGATGTTATCCTATAAACATATCAAATTAGTAAATAATATGAAATAATAGTCACAAAGTTACTATTTTTTTTGAGAATTATATTTGTCACTAGAAAAGTACTTTACAAAAGCAACCGTATACATGTCGTATAAGCCCATATATACATCTCCTTATAAGGCCAAATCAATCAGGTACATTGTCGTGCTCGTGCATATATGCCATTACCAAAAAGGCCATCATGTCGATGGAGACGAGTAGGACCTGGTTTTGGGTAAGATTCCAAATGCAATCCTGCTAGAAAAGTCGTCAAAAAGAACAGAAACATCGACCAAAGGAAAAGACATTAGCATTAGTCACACATAAGACATATATGCACACATCTACTCAAAGACTGATGTGTCCAAAATTATTGAGTTGGGTCTATACAATACAAACTAATTTGAGTGTTCAAAGTAAAACAGCTTTACTCTCTACTTATACGTCATGAATAATAGAGTTTGGTAAATGAAGAATCATTTCAACTGTTGCTGTGACTATACTTGGACTAAAGCAAATAAAATAAAAACTAAAAGCCTAATATAAGACTAAGAGGTTCAAATTCAAGTAGCAATCAATTTGAAATCATTTTATCTAAAGAATTAAGAAAAATGGCACAGAAATGACTAATAGCAGATTAATAAACAATGTGCATAAATTTAGGGTCTTTGATTAGGGTTTTCATATTTTTGTATTTTTCAAAGTAAAGCCTAATATAATGTGCAATTGTGCATGGTTTGATACGGTTTAGGCTTCATCTTGTAATCATATTTTTTTATCGAATATAGTCTTAATTTTTCTAATAATTTTTTTATATTCTTTTTCTTCTATTTTGTTGTTTGGTTCGGATTCAAATTTGATTTTTAGAATTGAGATAAAACATTATCAATTTAAACTACTTTACAGTAAAATTTGGTTTTAAAATTGGTTTGGATCTGATCATACCGATTTGTCTCAGATTAAACACCTTAAACACTAATCTTGAAGATAGTGTCTTACTCTTGCATCAAGAGACAAAGTATTTAAGTAGTTGGTCATTTATCCTAAGGGCTATTGCTATGTTTCTGTATCTTAAAGAAACTGAGAATCAAAGCCATTGAAAATCACACTACAAGTCACATAAACCTTTGCTTCATCTTTACAGTGTCATGCTTCACCTTTAAGCTTGACTTTACAATACATTGACATGAACAGAAGTTCCCTTTCTCTCAAAGATTGTCAAACAAAACAACGATCAAAAAACACTTTTCCTAGGAAATGTTGATACAAAAAATAATTACACAAAAATGTTATTTGCTGCTATTCACATAACAAAACAGAGTATTTACATGGTAACTCATCTTGCTGATCTTCCAAGAAACTCATAGATGCATACCAACTGTACAGTGTTGCATCCCTATCACGCAAAAAAACTTAACTACATCGAAAAATTTGGATACCAATAACTCATATGCCTTTACCACAACTGAGGAAACTCAAAGATGGGATATTCTGAGTAAGTGTTTCAGCCACTTGTGCGGCCGAAGGTCGTAGAGATGGTGAGTTACCAATACAAAGTGCAGCGACATTCAGCATTGTCTTTAACTCATCGATATCAACACTGTCCCTTGCTAACCTCGGGTCCAATAACTGTCTCACCTTGTCTTCTGCGATGTTTACACTCGAATCAAGAACTTCACGGATCAGTGGAGCGGCTATATGCACCAGCATCTCGCCTCTCTCAGCAGAAAACGCTTCTTTTCCTGAAACCAACTCAAGAACAACAACACCAAACCCATACATATCCATATTCTTCAAAGCAATCCCGGTTTTTAAGTAGTGAGGGTCTGTATAACCCGGTGATCCCACCATTTTCACTTGTCTTGATCTAGTCGACATCGTGGGAGGCTGAACCATCGAAGAGAATCCGACTTTAGCTGATCCAAAATCGCAAAGCTTACAATCAAAGTTCTTGTCTAGGAGCACGTTAGACGATTTGATGTCCCCGTGCACAATCTGCGGTGTACATTTCTCATGAATGTGTTCAATAGCTTGAACTAACTGAAACGCAATGGTGGTACGGTTCCTCCATGGCAAGACTTGCTTGCTGCTGCTATGTAGCTTCTCTTGTAGATTCCCTTGGGGAAGATACTCAAGAAGAAGAGCACCATTTTCCTCTGAAACACAAAGACAAAGACCATCAATACATATATCAAACCACTTGCTAAAACATATAAAGATCGAGACTTTGATTCTAATAGAGACTCAATCACTAGTGAATTTGATCTAAAGCTCCCAACTTTACAGAGTCAAGGCAAATACAACAACACAATTGATCTAACACCTTAAAAAGCAATACCTGAATCATCGAAATAGCCGAGAAGCTTGACAATGTTAGGATGTTGAAGACGGAGCAAGATATCAAGCTCAAGTCTAAAGACCTGATAAAGACTGTGGCTACTAACATGAACCTTAAGAGCCGCTTTGTCAGAGCCAGAGAAGCGAGCCATGTAGATACTACTATAGCCACCAGAACCAATCAATCTAGAGAAATTAGAAGTAAGAGTCTCCACATCATCCCAGCTATTGTAACAAGTCACACCAGATCCTTCGATTCTGGGTTTGTCGGTGGTCGTCGTAGATACATCAAATCGAACACAATTCAAGAAACAAGCCATTACAAAAACAGAGCAAAAACAGAGCAGAACAGAGCAAAACTGAGAAAGATCGAGACTTTATTTGTTTTTTAGAGCTTAGATTAGTACACGAAGATGGGTTTGGTTAAAGGTTTTGTGAACTGTAACTAGAGACAGAGAGGATCGAAGAAACTTATGGATTTGGAGACAATGAGATTGTTGGAATTTGTAAAGAAAGAAGAAGGAAAAGGTTTGGACTTTGGGATTTGGGAGGCAGAGTTTGACCGATTGATTATTAATAAATCTGCCATTTTCGATGTTGAATGAAACCTTCCTTCGAAGTAGCTAGCTCTTTGACGTTCTAACTACTACTACTCTTCTTTCAACTTTTTGTTTTATTGCTTTTTGGGATTAAGCAAAACATTTAACACATTTTTTTCTATTTCTTTTTGGACATTTTGGTATTTAGGGAAAATGTAGTGGAAAATTGTTAAATATAAAGGACAAAATTGTTAAATGTGTGGACCTAAGTAATATTTCTGCAAAATCTTTGTGGGTTTGCAATGTTTTGTTGGCAATTTGTGTGGTTTTTTGAGATTATGGGTTTGATTAGATTGTAATTATGTGGTTCTGCCGGGTTAAGCGAGATATTTGATTTTTCTTTAATTCCTTTTAGAATTTGTTTTATTGTTTAGACTAGTTTGATTGTGTTTATTTTGGTTTTGTTATGACTTGCTTTGTAACCAAGGTTGTATTGACATAAAAAAACTCAAATTCAACTAAAAATTAACATTTATTGCTTATCAAAAATTCGTTACAAAAATGTACGAATTTAACTTTATTTTAGTAGTTTTGGTATCTCATATTTTTCTTAATATAAACCATAAATTATATATATGAAAGACGAATGTAAGCTCTGCAAAGATGATTTTTACATTGTATTAATTCTTTTTATAAGCTCCCGAGAGATTATTTCTATTAGGATTTTTTTTTCTGTAAAAGATTAAGTTTTACACCATTTTTGAGATTTTTGACATAATTTACAGAGAATAACTAGGAACGGATAAAAACACGCTAGATAAACTTAGAAAACAACAAAATGCTATGGATCACTAGTGTGTGCTTAAGGCGAATTTGTGGAAAGAAACACTGATTCTGAATCCACAAAACTCGAAAATTTATGTGATTGCTATAGAACCGAAAATCTAAAATCTCCATTTTCATTTCCACCAGCCTATCTAACTAAGGTCAACCTTCAAAACCTCGTAATAAAAGTCTACAGCTTCTCCAAAAACTAAAGCAAAACCGTAAAAGCAACCATGCCACATATTTTTTCATTTTGTTTGCGACCGAGTGAAGTTGTGGTTTGATAGTTCAATAAAGACTCGACTCGATCAAAGAACGTTAGTTGTCTAGCTACAAATCTGTCTTTTCAAAATTATAATTTTGGCTCTTCCACTATTTAATAATATCGTCAAACCAAAAGGTTAGATCTTATGTCTCTTTCTTTGTTTTTTTCTTTTTTTTTTTTGTTTCTCTTACAAAGAAAACGTGAAAGATGCTATTGTAGACCAAGTAACCATATACTCCATAAACCCTACCAAACACCGACAGTCTACTTTTAAATTTAATCACACACACATACTATGTATAGTAATCAAATATGTTTGACCTTGCATCACATATTAGAAACCTTAGTTTAATGCAACATGTTCATAAAGATTTCGAATTGGACAGAAACGTCTAACAGCCAAATTATAAAACTTAACGTCCAATTCCATGTAACCAACTACCAAAGATTGACGACAAAAAACAACTTCATTCATGATCAAAGTTTTTAAGTCCTCCCATTTCGCAATCGACGTGTAAACATGTTTGCTAATCGCTATGGTATATGAAGAGGCAATAGAGGATCTAGTTATTCACTATATGATGTCACCGATTTAACGATAAACTCAGCGGTACTATTAATGTATGCTAACAAACAAATCCAAAACTTGTTGAAGTTATTAGTAATTCTCATAGATTGTCAATATTTATGAATAGAAGATAAAGTCCGCATTTGCTTAGTGCAAAGAACAAACACTCCGAAATAAGTAACCATTGGTTAATATAGAACCTAAGATCCACTTTTAGCATGACAAAACAATCTTAGAAACGTAACATAGATGGAACCTAAGATCTTTGTTGGACAAACAGACAGGTTTAGATGGAAATTAGAATCCTGTTATATAAAATTATAAATGAAACAACTTAGAACCCAAGGCTTCAACAAAAGTGGAGCTCGCATGTTGATGATGCTCGGGATGAACGTGTCGACTCCGTTATCATCTCGAGTTGTGGTACCAAACGTGTATCAGCCACAAATTTTGCAGTCCTTAAGCGACGAGCGTTTTTCAAGATGTAAACCGCAATATCTCTGTCTTGCGGTCTTCCTAAGTAGTCTGACCACGTGAACTTTTGTAGACTCGACAACAAGCATTCGGGAACAGTACTTGGTTCATTCCAGGAAAACATACCATGATTCTCATCATTCTGAGATCAAGGAGAAGAATCAGATTCAAAAAAACTTAATGTGCCATAGAAAAGGAATAATAGCTAACCGAAAGAACTTACAAGTCTTAAATTCATTTCCGATACACACTTTAGTCCTTGTAAGTTAGGAGAGCCATTGAGGAACCGGACAAGGAGATTCGACAGATCCTCTTCAGGTGCATATAGTAGCGTCAGATCCTCAAGGTGGTTAAAGATAAAACCTTCACCAAACATAGCCTGCAGACGGATTAAAAAGGAATTAGCAAAAGAATTTTAAAAGCGAGATTAAAGACTTGCAGTTGTCAACTTGAAACTGATTACCGCTGTGGATATTGTTAGATACTTGACAGAAGTGATTGATCCGATAAGACTCTTAAGATCAGTGGACTCAACTTTGATATATGCTCGTCTCAGCTTAGGCGTATTCTCAATCAACCATGGGTGACTATCATAATTACGATCTACAAGTACAAATTGCTCTAAAGACGAAGCATTTATAACAACCTCATCTAAATGAAAAATAGAAGGGATAAAGAGTGATAAACGTTGCAAAGATGGGACAATAACAGTAAACGTTCCCATATTGTCAAGTTGACATAACGCCACTTGTAGATATTCAAGAACAGGGCAATTAGATAGAAGCCGCTGAAGAGATCCTTCTTTAGCGTAAATCAATTTTCTAAGTTCCAAAGTTCTTAGAGAGGGAAGACAAACCATTCGAGGAACATCCAAGAGAATTCCGCCATTGAGTTTCAAGACCACTAGCGACTTGCAGGTATACAAGCTACTAGGCAATATGTTTAGCTTATCAGAATAATGAGAAACAGAAATCTTCAGCTCACGTATGTAGTGAGAAACTGCTACTACAGCCCACATTCTAATATCTTCAGGTTTCAAAAATATTTACCGCCTAAATCAAGACCGAAGCTTTCTAAAACTGGAGCTCTATGCAATGGCAGATTCCTATTAAGAAAACACTGTAAACTCTTGAATTCAGATTCTGAATAACGTCTACTATCACCAAACTCAAGTTTTGTCAACCACATCCAAAGAAACTCCCAGCGTTTCGACAATATGCTAGTTGATACAGCAACCTTAGTTGGAACATACGACAATATCTTAACCAGTACTTCATCAGGTAACCCACTGATTCTGTCCATATCTTAACAAAAATTAAGAAACTTTCACTGACCCTGAAACAGAAAACACAATACAGACTTAAAAAAGGTGTCTTTCTCAAGCGAACCAAACAAGTAAACAACACAGCCACACAGAGAAGAGGAGGAGAAAAAAACCCTAGAAAGCGATCTCTGGATTGGTAGGAGATGAGTCTTTTTCCAAGTGTAGTTCAGTGGAGGCTCGACCAAGAACAGGAATCAGAAGCGCCTTGAAGAACTGCTTAAGTATTTCTGGAAGTGACAATAATTTTGAATCAAACTTGAATCGAGAGAAGGGCTAAGAAAGAAAAAGGTATCATCAGAGCTTCGTTGTCGCCATTGGGTTTATGGAATGGTTTGATTGGGTCTGGGCTTGGGCTTGGGCTTGGGCTTGGGTTGGGCCTGAAATGGTTTTTTAATCTAAAGATGCACTTATTTTAACAGTTAACCGTCAAGACTCAAGACTATCATCTTCAATCTTCAAGATTACTATCTATCCATCTTCAATCTTCAAGATCAAGATCTGATAGAACCATACAATTTGTCAATTGCAATTGAACAAATACAACATAAAATTATCAAATATATCAACGACCACTTCCATTTACACAGAAAAAAAGGACGTTCATTGTTTTGTCGCCTAAGAAAACAAAAATTTGTGAATTGCAAAAACATAAAAGACTGATTTTTTAACAGATGACACCTGTGAAAGTCTAATTAAGCTCTGCTCTGCTTTTAGTTCTCTTCATCTTTGCCTTAACTCTTGACTTTGCCATTAGTGTTTCTACTGTGTTTATGAAGTTCCCAACAGCCATCACTACCAGAAGAATGCCACAAACCATCACCTGAAAATGACAACATCGACCACGTTTCTTTTACTTTTACTTCCTTTTCTATCGAATATTTGTCGGCTCATACGGGAATATACCCGTTGGAAACAATGCTACAAGAGTGAAAATAATACCTGCCATTCGGTAACTACTCCAGTTACTGTTTTTCTTAGCAACAGCAGTCCAACGTATGCTTCAAACACCTGAGTTTTAGCAAAAGTTACAAACATTGTTAAGCCCAATAAATTTAACAGAAAACATCAACATTACCATCATGTGCAAAGAAAATATCACCTGTAAAATGAACAGTATAGGACATAACAGCCATAGTTGTCCATCAACACCAGCCGTTTCTCCCCATACGACATCCATTCTCTTAGCCTGAATATTAACAACAAAGCACACTTTTGAAGTTACTTTACAAAAGCAGATAGGATTTTGGAGTGAAGAGAAAAAGTTCACATAATAAGGCACCTTTCCCAGTGCAATGCGAGTGTATAATCTTTGGCGTTGGTATCTGTTTTGCAGAAGCATGGCGACACCTTGCATCATAGCCCATTGCAGGAAAAGATGGACTCCTCTCTGTGAAGGATTGAACTCAATCATGACATTTAGTATTTACTTTGTGAACTTTTAGTCTGCACAAAAATAAACTTTAAGCATTACTTGTTTCTGGACACAGTTTGGTTGACCTTTGATTTCCCATGTGAGGCTGACAAGGGCCATAGCCATGGCACAATAGTGATGATATAGCCACCTACAAAACCAAATCAAGTGTAGAGCTTAAGTCACTTCCAACTCATCGGATAAATCAAACAAAGCACCACTACATGATACATATATACAAATCCACTGCATAGTAGCAATACTAAACCCCCACCCACTGAGAACTCCATGGAAACTAAAGTTCTCTATCTCTAATCATAAAATACTAGAGTGATCTAAATTTTTCCTTGACAAAACCATATAAGCTACTAGTTCCTGTACACAAGTCTATGCTTCTATACTGATGAAGGAGACCCTTTAGAGGAGAAATTCGCATCTTTTTTGCCAATCACCATGCCACATGATGAGGCACATGTAGTTCTTCTTCAGTGGTAATGATATCCATCTTGAGTGAAATTTAAGATAAATATTTTACACCATTCAGAAATAGGTATCATTTGCTAACTGCAAATAGCCGAAACACACACAACAAAAAAACTACTTTCGAGAAATATATAAACAATAAGATACTAAGATAAATCAGCAGCATACGCATGTGCTTGGTGAATATAGAACTCAAGATAAACACCCTCTTAGAAACATACTATTTTCTAGACTTAGTTATGTCCTATGACTTTTATCAAACTACACATGTGCTTTGGTTGAGCACCACATAGGACCTATGTTCAACATATAGCATATGTATGTTCAAAATATAGCATGATACATCCATCTGAGATGACACAATTACAGTATCCAAAATTAAAATTTATTCGAAGGTAACTAACAACTCATGATACAAAGAACACTCCAAATTCAAAGAACTTAGCAGCAAGAGCAAAGACAAACTCAATAAATCATAACATTCATAATCAAACAGATGAGAGGGAATGCATAAAAGAGTACCATGGACGAATATCGCTCCCATTAACTCTTAATATGTTCTCCCTCATAGCCAACCCAGCATAAAGAAACAACAGCCAAGCCTGATAAAAAAGATAAAAACTTTTTACACTCTAATCTCAAAAATTCAACACATTACACAATGTTTAACCAAACTCTTTAAAATTACCTCATAGAGCTGGACAGGAAATGCAGGCAAACAACCACCCCAGTAATAAGATCTAAGGATTAAAAGTGTTGCAGGGAAAAAAAGAAAAAGAAGAGCAGTCCTGTCCTGTTCCATTAACAAACGTAATTAGATTCAACAATCCAAGACTAAGGACACATGCAAGCAAAAACAAAAACGATACTAACTCTGTAGCTATTGTATTCTTCTTTAACTTTAAGCTGAACATCTTTACGCAAAGCTCGAACATTCACAGGCCCCAAGAACATTCTCACAAACCGTCCTGTTTCACTCAATTTCATGAAATCAAAAACCAAAACCTGAACCAAAGATTACAACAATTGAAGTGCTCTGTGCTCCTCACCTTGAGGTTTCGATGGGAGAAACGAAGATATCTCTCCATCAACAAGCATGCATCGAGCACGATGCAGATCTTCCTCAAGCTACACAATCACAATTCCAATTTCAATAATCGTGAAACCAAAATCAAATTTAATAGATTTGAGAAGAAGAAGAAGGAACAAATCAATGCCTTCTCGACGAGTTTAGGATCGAGTTTTTTGTCGGAGACGAGAGTAGAGTGGAGACGACGGATTGATGAATCAACGGCGGAGGCGTTTTGACGGAGAGATAGCTCTTGTTGAGAAGATGAAGAGATGAAAGAAGCGGATGATTCGTTAAGCTCCTTGACCTCGTCTACTATTCGTTTCACTTCGTCTTCGAGTTCTGCCATTGATTGATTTTGTGATGATGAGATCGGATTTGGATTTGTGGAGATGAAAGAAACGATGATTTTGATTTGAATTGGTTTGTTCTAGAAGAAGAATAAGAAGAAGAAGAAAAGGTTTGAATCTGTTTTTTTTTTGGGTTAGTGTTAAGCGTTTTGAGTGTGATTAACGAAAATAGCATCAAATCAATCACACACGCTTTGTTCATACCCACACCTTTTTCTTCTATTATCTTTGTGTGTGTGTGTGTGTTTTTTTTTAATTAATCAAACAAAAAAATAAATATAATTAAGCAAATGACATGAAATCATATGTAAAAAGTTTGATGTTTAAGGGTGATTTATGTTCAACAAAGATTGAATTTCTACAATCTAAAAATTAGTTAATATTAATATATACTCTATCTGTTTCTTTTTAAATGATGTTTAAGGTTATTACACACATATTAAGAAAATATATATTTTTCTTGTTTTTTTAAAACATCATTAATTAAAATGAATTCAACTAATTACAAAATAAGATGTAAAATATGATTGGTCAAAAAGTATTAAACACATTTAGTTTTTGCATAAAAAGTTGAAAACATTACTTAAAATGAAACAATTTTTTTTGAACTAAAAAATCACTTAAATTGAAACGGAGGGAGTAGTAAACTTAAAGAAGTTATCATTGAGAATATGTGGGAGAAAATAATGTATTTGAAATTGATAAATTATTAATTTTTAGTTTGTGTAAAAATTCCAAGCCTCAATCTTTTAGGAACATAAAAAGTATATTTAATGGTTTTGTTGGATTTGTTTTTTCTTCGTGTATAAAAATTAAGTTTTAGTTAAGTTCATGTAGTTATAGGTATGATTCAAAATCATGTGTATTACACCCAAAAAAACTATGAGGATCGACGGATTCTCACACATATTGTATCTATCAATATTTTCTAAATTTTTTTTTATCTGTATTGATTCTAAATATACGAATATTAGGACAGAAATAAAAAGTAGATCTAATCAAAAAAATCTTAATTTAAGAATATAATAGAAATAGGCTCGTACAATGGGCGAGATATATTTTAATTTAATGTTGTTAGAAATAGGGACACTTTTTTAACTACTATATCTTAATCAACTTAAACACAAAAAGGAACCAAGTACATAATACAGACATAAATCAACAAACCAGAAAAAAAATTAGAAAAAAAAAAATTACAAACAATTAACCATTTTTTAAATAGACAATAATGATTTTTACACATTTATTACATCTTATATACATATTTACACATTTATTACAACATTCCAGATTGTTTTTCTAGTGATATCCCGATTAGGGACATGTTTTTTTTTTTTTTTAATTATTAGACAAACAAGTAACATGATTTTTTTTTTTCTTTGCTAATTGTGATTTAAGTTGAATCTTCAATTTTATAAAACTAAAGAAGTTTTAGGATTCCCTTGCTTATACGTCTGTACCAATTGAAGAAGACGTCTGATAACAATGCTACCACCAGAGCGATGAAGTAGAACTTGGAGACGATGCTCTAGCTGATTGACGTCGTCCTGTGATTTCGAGAACCTTAGCCAAAGTCGATTTAGGTGTTTGTACAATGATTCGAAAGAGAGGTAATCCAATCTGTAAACCCTTAGAGACTTTGAGATGCGGTTACAGTAATGGCCAAATCTTGGGTTCTTTTGAGTTTGAGATCGAGATTTGCGCTCAGTGTACAACTCTGATGATGGCACAAGTATGGTTTTTGTATCTAAATTTGCCTGAAAAGAACACAAAACGAGAAATATATAAAGACACATGCACTATTAAAGATATAAAGATATAAATCTCAAACTCTATTCGAGTTTATTGGATGTTTAACTCAACTTAGTTTTTAATCAATGATTTACAAATCCTAGTTAATATCATGAGTTTTTTTAATTGATGAATATCAAAATATAAATTGCAATCGTATGTCACTCGATTACTGATTTTTTTTAAGTGCGAGATAACATTTTGTGTTGCTGTAACTTGTAACTTGAAATACAAGTTACAGAATGACATAGCTAATTATGTTGTATACATATTACCAAAAAAAAAAAAAAGTAATACTCTCAGTGTTTCATTTTAAATGATGTTTTAGCCAAAAAAAAATTTTCATTATAAGTGATGTTTTTAATTTTCTATGCAAAAATTTAATGTATTTAATATGTTTTGACCATTCATATTTTATATTATATTTTTTTATTGGTTGAATTCATATTAGTTAATGATGTTTTATGGAAAATAAGTAATTTATATGTTTTATTAATTGGTGTGCCAAAACCTTAAACATATAAATAAATTTGTAGGTGAACCGCGAACCCCTCATATATATATATAAGGAAATTCAAAATGATTTTGTTTTGAAAGCCTTTTGAAATGATTTTGTTTTAAGAGCCTTCTTAGGTATTTAAAATACATATTTAAATCTTATGCTATTTTTGTCAATTAGCTAATTTCATGAATGATTTGAAAAGTTTTAGAATAAGTAATATGTGAATTATAGTGTGACATACCTGAACATCATCGCCATCTGATGAGAACCCCTTATTTGGTTGCGTTTCATGGTCTGTTTCATAGGAGATGTGCGTATCTGTTTGCTTCTCAACCTCACCACAAGATAACTCTTGGCTGTTCATGAATACTGTTGAAACATTAGGCAACAAAGGTCCCATATCTGCCATTGCATGGCCCTTAAGCTCCTCGGCATATTTGCGAAGAGCAAGTGGGTTCCCATCAAAGCGTTTAATCATTGGAAGGTACTCCAAATGATTTTCTTCTATAACATCTTTCCCATAGGCATACCTTGTGACTAGCTTCAAAGCGTCTTTATCATTTAGACCTTTAAGCTCATATATCTCATTCATCTGGCACTGTTCAAGAACTTTTCTATCTCTGGATGTTATGATGATCAAGCTCCCTCGACCAAACTTATCAAATCCACCAAGAAATGACTTTGCGCTTTGAACTTTTTGCACATCGTCTAAAACAACAATAACCCTTTTCTTGCGGTAGGTTGGCTCTGAATCCGAACTACTTTGGCCAAACGTTTCCATTGGAGTCTCACTCAAGTATTCAAGAGATAAAGACTTAGGTCCCATGCCATTATATCCTGTTTGAAAGTCTTTGTTGAAGCAAGAAGCATCATAATCACTACAAATTCGGCGAAAGATGGCTCTAACGAGAGTCGTCTTACCAATGCCATGCTTACCACAAATTCCTAAAGTGTAAATGGCCCATGGTTGCTTGCATAGCAAGTTTTCTATCTCTAGTTGCCGCTCGTAAATCCCAATCTCTTCTGTTGGATAGAGCTTCTCAAATACATCCCTGGCTATATCTTCTTGGAATTCATATTCACTGCAATCAAACGTGTTTGATTAAACATTTATGTGAAATGAAGCTTTTTCGACCAAAAAAAAAAATGTGAATGAAGCTTTTGACCTATGATCAAATCAATAGTAAACAGTGTAATTTGTCCTTCATTTTGAAAAAGAGTAAAAAGCTTTTAGGAAATGTGGTAAAAGCAATATTCTAAAAGGCGGTTTAGGCGTTCGTGTCATTAACTCGTTGTATAAATCCTTAATTTATTATCTAGTTAACACCAACACTATTGGAAATTTAGACATGTTGAATCATGTCAATTTACTAGCAATTCTTGGGTTCACCCCTTCTTGTTCACCTTTTATTATTTTAACCAATAAAAATAGAGTATTATACCATGTTAGAGAATATATAAAAATAAATAAAATTGAAATCATAAAACAAAACAAATTATGGGAACAAAATATGTGTACATATAACCACTATTTTATAAATCCAAATAGACGTATAATTTTGTCTTAATTGTAAAATATAAACTCTAACTACTCATTTATAAACCCAGACCGACATACAATTTCGTTTTAGTTGTAAAATCTAAACCAGAACCACTTATTTACAAACCCAAACTAATATATAATTTTGTTTTAATTGTAAAATCTAAGCCCTAACCACTCTTTTATAAACCCAAACCGACGTATAATCTATACAGATTTTGTTTCCTAAATCGATTTTATTTTTCTAATTTTAATTTTAGTTTCTTTTTTAAACATGATATGACGTGGCATAATACTCTCTTTTTATTGGTCAAGATAATAGGAGGTGAACTACTCTTATTCACCTCCTATTGATTAACCAATCAAAATAAAACAATATGCCATGTAATATTATATTTAAAAATAAATCAAAAATAAAACAAACCTTAACCCACTCTTTTATAAAGGGAATATTGTTTGTTATGCCACTTTCATAACTCAAAATTATATTACTGCCACTTTGACCAAAACCTTCTCAAAAATGCCAGTTTGTCTATTTGTGGCAGTGTCACAATGACGAAATTAACCTCGCAGAAAAAACAAAAAAAGATGATGGACGAGATATGATGGACCAGATCTGTTCCACCAGAACTGGTTCGGGTCTAGTCTACCAAAATTGGTTGACCGAATCTTGTCCATCTACAGACAAAATGTATGATATATTGTGCAAATCTAGCTAGATCATGAATAAAATCTTCTATAAACACATTACTTATTTCATCATATGGTGAATCACTTGTGGTTTCAAAAGATTTGCATGATGGACAAGATTAATTAATCAAAATGGAAATGTTTGGTCCATCGAAACTAGTCCGTTAGATCTGGTCCACCGAATTTGGTCCATCGGATTTTGTCCATCAGAGATGCAACACATAATTTCGCCGATCGGAATCAGTCGATTTCTTTACTGGAGTAGATGCGGGTGAAAAAAATCTCTGATCCAAATACTTCTTATAATTGTGAAGAGTTTTATTTGTGGTTAGATAAATAAAGAGAAGATGAAAGAAGAAGAGAGAGAGATGAGACAAGGACAAAATTGTCTTTTTAATATGTCTTGTGGCAAGTGGGAAAAGGCTAGAGAAAATGTGGCACTCCATAAAATATTTGTTACTGTTCATGGCATAAAATATAATTTTCTCTTTTATAAACCCAAACCTTAATATGATTTTGTTTAATTAAAAAATTTAAATCCTAACCTTTAATTTATCAACCCAAACTGAAATATAAATTTGTCTAATTACAAAATCTTAACCCTAACAACTAGTTTGTCAATCCAAACCGAAATGTAATTTCGTTTCATTACAAAATCTAAATCCTAACCACTATTTTGTCAACCCAAGCTGAAATATAATTTTGTTTAATTAAAAAATCTAAACCATAACTACTAATTTATTAGCCCAAACCGAAATAGATTTTCTTAATAAATATTGTACACTAAAATTTAATTACTTATTCAAAAACTAGTCTCAAAACTTTGTTGTATTCAAATCATATTCTAAATTTATATATTTGATTAATAAATAATCTTATGTATTAGACTATATATGTTAAAATCATAGTAAAGACTAAAAAATCTTAGTAATTACTATAAATTTTAATTAATGATTCAAAAAATATTCTCGTATATTTGTATTCAAATCATATTTTAAATTTATCTATTTTATTAATAAAATAACATATTTAATACTAAGTAACAAAAATCATAAAAACTTTCAACATATCATAATTTATATATGTATGAGCGGGAAAAGAAGTTGTTATTTTCATTCATACCACATAGTTTAATGGTTTATTAGGATGGTTAATTCAAAAAAATTTGCTGGGTAGACTCCTTGGAGTCGATCCTTTTATTTACCCCTTAATTTATTATCCAATCATAAGTTGTTACCTAATAAAAGCAAATACAATAAAAATTTAAATTATCCATATAAAAGGTTAACAGTATACCATTGAGTTTTTATTTTACGATGTTATATGTCGGTTTGGGTTTTTCAAAGACTGTAAAGGGTTTAGATTTAATATGATTTTGATGGTTTTAGCCTTTTAAGGAAGTTTTTATGATTTATTGCAAATTCACTCAAATCCTACTTAAACCCACAAGATTTAATTTTTTTTATTTATAAATAATGATTAAAATTTATTGATTTCATATAATTTTGATCATTTGAGTAAACTTAAGAATTTTATTATTATTTATTTTAAAGTAGTTTTTCAAATCATTAGTCTAATAACATATATATATATATTTTTAATTTGATACAATAAGTTTTAATACATTATATACCCCTTTTTAAAAATACAACTTTTTAATAATACCCCCTTTTCAAACTTTATAAAAATGTTGAAATTTATCCAAATATGTGTGTAAGCTTATAAATATACACACAAATTACCTTGTATGTATATAAAATTTTATAGGTCTTTCATAAATAGCGTAAACATAACTTATAAAAACCTTTTAAAAACCTTGTAAAACTTGCAAAAAACAATTTAAAACCTTTTAAACATTATAAAATATTTGTAACGAATCTCCCAGTAATAGTTATTATATAGAAGTACCTTATAAACCATTTAAAACTTTATAATTTGTCATATTTAAACACGGTTATTTCTAAAAATAGATAGATCAAAAGGATATTTTTGAAAAACAGTACACAAAAAGGGGTATTTCTCAAAAATTCTCTTATATATTTCCCTTAATAATATATGAATTATTATTTCTTAACACAATAGGTTTAATATTTGATTAAATACACTCCTTAATAATTTAGAGGGAATTTTAGTGTGAAAAAAAAATGTAGTAGGAATTTGGCTCTCAAACTATATAATAATTTAGTAATAATAAGATTTAAGATTATTTTCTTTCTAGAAAACAACCTCATCCAGTTTGTAATCTTTTCTTTTTTTTTTGGACAAATCGTAATCTCTATACCTTCGTTTAGCATCATATTCATGGCCATGTGGCCACTTCATCATCAATCTTTGGAGGGCACCAAGATTCTTAATATGTTCCTTCACGGATGCTATACTGATGCCATAGAACACCGGAACCACCACAAAGTCGTCGTTGTCACAGCATGGGTGCTTATTATACTTCTCCAAGATTGACTTATGAAACGTTTTGGAGAAAACTACCACGAATGCTCTTAAGTTGCAGAATCGTTCTGATTCGCTCTCTATCTCCGCTGCTTCATCATGGTCGTTGTTTTTGCCGTCAAGGAACGCATAGATTCCTTGCCGCTCGAAAGCAAGGTTGAGGTAGCTGATGAAAGAGGATACGCATGAATCTTTGCCGTCGAAACTGAGATAAACGTTGTGGTTAACTTCATTCTCTTTGTTCTCCATTCGAGATAGCCAATAGATATGGACTATGTCATATAGTTTTTGTAATTGTTGTCCCTGAGGGTTATCGATGAAAGTATAGTTTTTGTGTATAAAAATTGTGCCTATACTTAGATATATATATTGACGAGATATATATCGTGTGTACACAAGGTAGGTGTGTCAATCACGTTGACTCTGTATGGCCTTCCCCGAAACATGCTTATGTTAATGTTCGACCTGGCCAACTCGAAATATTTCTGAGTTTTATATTTCAAAGCTGGTCCCGCGCTAACAGAACTACAAGGCTTATAAATTTATAACATGTCTTAGAAAAATAACGTTTAAATAAGAATTTAGATAACTAATCACTATTCAAAATTTAGATAACTAATAATTTTTTTTAAAATCCTGAAGAGTATTCACTAAAACCAACTAAATTTGGCTAAGTTATTGCTTCGGCACGGCTGAATTAACTTGTTCCGGCTAGCTGAGTTATCGACAATGACTTAGTTGTGGTATGTCATTATGGCCGATTTATGTGTGAAAGTTATAAATCAGCCGTAATAAGATGGATTAATGTAAAACTCGGCCTAGTTACGGCTGACTTATTAGCGAATGGTTAATTACCAGAATAGCATGCAATTACGACTAACTTATTAAAGATACAGCTGAGTTAAAGATTTACAGTTGAGTTACGGCTGAACTTGGCAGCCGTTTTTCAGTTTTTAATTACTCTAATAGCATGCATTCATGTTTCGGCTGACTTAAAGTTTTGTTTGATGAACGTTTTAATTAGGCTGATTTACGTGTTCATTTGGTAACACCATTGTTGATAGTAGCAGCCGTAACTTAACTATAAATCACATACATGTTGTAAATCTTACACAAGTTACTAAAAAATCCCACTTTGAATACTTAAGTGTATTTGTTTAAAGGCTTTTCGGACAAGTCCGAACCCGACCTGACTTAACCCAAAAAAATATTTTGCCTTATAAGGTCTAATTTTTTTTGAACATATATATTTTTATCCCAAATCTGATATTTTTCAGTGACGGGCAAAACTAATTCGCTAACTTTAACCCTAATTGACATGCTTAGAAACACTCCTCTAGTACATTGCCAAGTTGTTTTTAAAACTCTAAAACTTTTTATTCTGAAGATATATTTTGATGAAATGACTTTAATCGGTCAAAGTCAGATGGATGAACTACCTAAACTCAATAATGTCTACAAAACTGTCATCATGACTTTTTAGAGTTGAACATAAAACACAATATCCTTTTAAGCAGACGAAAGTTCGGGGATTTCGACAACGAATGCACTGTCGGAGGTTTTGACAACGAATGCTTCGCTTCATTGAATACATACACTACATTTGTTTTTTTAGACGCATATTATATATTGAAACCATACTACTCTCTCTCACTCTATATTTTCAATGCATCTTTTACATTAAACTTTCTAATTTTACCTTCAATTTAAAACTAACAAAACCCGTAAATTACTAATTCAATAGAGGCATATGTATTTTTTAATTTGTGTGAAATGTGTCATAATAACATTGTTTGTGAAATAAAAAAGTATTTTTTTATGAGTTTTTGGATCACCAGTTTTAAGCGAGTTTTTCTAGATTATTGCAGTTTAATTATATGTCGAGTTTTGCTGAAGCTCAAACCATAAGTACTATCATATACTCCCTCTGTTTCCTTTAAAGGTCAGGCTTAAATTATTGTTTTGTCTTTCTAAAATAGATGATTTTTTTCATAAATCTATACAAAGTTAATTATATTTTATTAGTTTTAATAATTTAAAATCATAAATACTCAACCATAACTCTTTAAAATTTATGCCTAAAATAAACATTAATTAACCCAAATTTCAAACAAAAATTAACACCATTAAAAATCAATTTTTGCATTCGTATTATTTTTAGAAAAAAAAAAAAACTTGCATGATTTTTTTTTTTGAAAAATAAATTAATAAAATATTTCTAGAAAAAACTTAAGCTAGGGTATTTCTAGAAAAAAAAAGATCATTTTACTAATATTTATTGGAAATCAAAATACATATTAATCCCACATGGAAATCAATGACATTTCTTATATCTGGTTTGATGACAGTTCAACGTATCTGGTTTATAAGACCCATTCAAAGTCAAATTATATATAAATTTGACTTTGATTCTTTACAGCAGCATGGTGCATGTGATTGGTAATGTTTTTGGAATAGAATTAGAAAAAAATATGCACTACGCTACAAAAATATTTTTCTATTTTATTTCTTTTGTTAATTTTTTTTAATCAAATTGAAAACCCATGGTGTACCATGTGATAATTTTTATAATTTTTTTAAAAAATACTATTAATTTGTAGTATTTTTAAAAAAATTATTATTAAAATTGTACAGCTTTTACTTGTAATGTTTAACGAATAAGGAGTTATACGAAACTTTGTTATGTTTAACAAATAAACCCTTTTAAAAACTTTATAAACCTTGTACAAAAGATTTAAAACCTTTTAAAACATTAGAAAATATTTGTATCGAATCTTCAAGTAGTAGTTATTTTATAGAAGTACCTTATAAACCATATAAAATTTTATAATTTTTCATATTTAAACAGGGGTATTTTTGAAAATGATAGATAAAAGGGGTATTTTTGAAAACGGGTACACCAAAAAGGAGATTTCTCAAAAATTTCTTTCTTAAAAATGGATATATAAAATGGGTATTTTGCAAAGTAGTACACCGAAAGGGGTATTTGTCAAAAAAACCTTCAAACTTTATTATGCAGTTTCTAATATATATTTTTTAATAAGTTTATATAATATTTTTTTGTATGATTTTTTTTTATCTCTTACATTGTGATCAGAAACATTCTCAACATTTTTCTAGTCTTTTATAATTATCTTTTTAAAATATTAAGAATTATTTAATTGTAATATTTCCTATACTACAAAAGTATTAGATCTTTAAGAAAAATTAATAATTCTTTTCTTTTAAGAGTATGTAAGATATTGTATAATTTCATTATAACAATGGTATTGTATGATTTCCGTATAACAATTTTTTATTTGAGTAAGATTACTAGTTTATTATATTTGATGTTTTAAAATTGATAAGTAAAATTGATAAGTAAAATTAATTTTACTTGTTCCTTTCTTTTTATTTATTTATTATAAGAAAGAAAGAGATATTTCCTTACTTATTTTTATCTAATATATATATATATATTAGATTTGAATTTTTCCATATTTATATTAGCATAATGTACAATTTTAGTTAAAGTTATTTATAGCAATTTTTCAAAATTTTAGCACATAGACCTGACAATATCGTGATTATGTGAGTTAGCAATTTTGAAAATGAAAATTTAGAAATAAAAATATACAAAGTTCATAATTGTAAAACTTTGAGTAAATTAAAGGGGGGACTAAAAAATGACAGTAATCCGACTAAAATATGCCAACCATCAGATTATTTTATGTTTAGCTAAAATGTTAGTTTCATGAATCATTCAATTGCTATATTAAACACCAAATTGCATTTGTTCCAGACAAGCTAAACAATTGTAGACATTGCGTGTTGTGCAAACGCTGACTTATTACATTTGAAGCGGTGGCATCACTGAGAAAGATCTTTGTGGCATTTTCTTATTGGATTGACACTTTCAAATTGAGAACTTTACATCTCAATATCATTTATTTTCTACATGATCAGCTAAATCTCTATAAATTATTATAGGCCCTAACCAAAATTTACCCCATAAATATATTAGATATAAGGGTTGATTTAAGGGGGAATTTCAAAAATACCACTTTTCCAATACCACTTTTTAAAAATACCCCTCTTTCTAATTTTATCAAAAAGTCACAATAAAAATTGAAATTTATTAAAAAAATATGTATAAACTTATATTTATAGACACAAGTTATCTTTACATGTGTGTAAATTTATACATATATTTCATAGTTACCGTATAAATACCTTTTAAAAATCATATAAAAAGCTTATAAAAAATGTGTAAACCTTTTAAAAACCTTATAAAAACCATATAAATGCCGTTTAGGACCTTTTAAAACCTTCTAAATATTTAGATTTAGTCTCCCAGTAGTAATGATGATTTTGATGTACCTTATCAACCATATAAAATTTTATAATTTTTCATATTTGAAAAAGGGTATTTTTGAAAATGAATAGAAAAGAGGGGTATTTTTAAAAAGTGGTACACCAAAAGGGGTATTTCTCAAAATTCTCTTGATTTAAAGTATAGCCCTAGAAGAATAGAAAGATAATTTTTCATTTAGTTCTCTCTCCTCTAATTTAAAATAATGTCAAAAAGTTCTTTATTATTTATATCGGAACGACGATCTATTTCCCCCCAGGAACTATCATATACGACCAGTTCCACCCACACTTTTAGCCTCTTTCTGAGTCTCCCTCAAAAATAAGTTCTACAATTATTTCCCCCCAGTTATAAAGTTCGAAACTTTTTTCCCCATTTCGTAAAAGATCGAAACCGATTTACACATGGAGCTGGGTTAATGTTGGTTTACTATAGACCAATGTCGTCTTAACCATGTAAAAGAAAACTAAACCTATACTAAACCAATTTAATTAAACCTAACCCGATTAAAAGAAAAAAACCGAAAACCTCCAAATAAAGAAATCCCAAATTCGATTTCATCAAGAACCCTAATCCAGTTACGCATTTCTTCATCTTCCCAAATTTTCTTCTTCTCCGAATCGATTTCGTTTTTTTCCAACATGTCACTTCTCGATGAAGAGATGAACGGTGTCCCTGTTGACGAAGAACCCGATGATGAAGATGTGGAAGATATAACCGCTCGAAACGACTACAACCTAGAGCAAGCAATCATCGAATTCGTCGATGAACCGTCGATTCGTCACGATACCATTCCCGAAAGTGACAGTGATGAAGAAGAAGAAGATGTTCCAGGGATGAGATGTCGTAACGAGATCCGACGAGGTGATGGAAATTTGTACAAGAACCAAATTTTCTACAACAAAATCGCCTTTAAAGAAGCTGTCCTGGACTACACTCTTCGCACATCTAGGAATATCAGACAGTACAGGTATGATAAAACTAAACTTGGGTACCGTTGTAATGCTGAAGGTTGTAAATGGCGTATCTACTGCTCTGTTGTCTCTAATTCGGATAAGTGGGAAGTTAAGAGATTCATTGATAATCATAGTTGTTCGGTTATCCTTAAGCTAAAATTGAAGCCTGAGGATTATGTTTGTCATTGGTTTCGCACAGCTCTTTGGCAGAGGAACTACACAGATGGTTTAGTACCATTGAGAGGTGCAAAGTTTTGGCCTGTAGGATCAGCTCCTAAAGTCCATCAAGCTCCTGAACCTCCACAGCCTGGAGCTAAAAAGAAGAGTAAGAAAAACAAAAGAAAGAAAGGTAAGAATGAGTCTCCTCTGAAGAAACAACCAAAGGCTCTGAAACGAGTCATGCATTGTGGGATATGTGGTGCCCCTAATCACAACTCTAGGTTTCATAACAAGAAACAAAAGGTTTGTAGTTTCTGTTTCATACTCATAACGACTCTAATCCTGAATATATGTCTTGTGCTTTGCTGCCTTTTTAACTATACTTTCTATTAATACAGGTTCCTAAAGGTAAACAACCTCAAGATAATCAATCTCAATGTGAACCTTCGCAAGGAATTTTCACACAAGAGTAAGAGGGAGAACAGAGGTAGGAGTAGAAGAGGGTGAACGGAGCTACTAGTAGAAGCTGCATTTGGACTAGTTTTTTTTGTATGGAGTAGAAGCTGTAGCAAGGATGGTGTAGAAGCTGTAGCAAGGATGGTGTAGAAGCTTGCCTCTTATGTTTGTTTTTTCAAGCTTCTAAACATACACATCTCAGGATTATTATGTAATCGGTTTGAACCTATTTATGAATGCTTTTTAAACTTCTGATTCATTCATCTTTTAACATCTAACATTACAACCATTACAAAGCATTGAGGTCCAAAAACAAAGCATTACAATGCATAACATCTAACATTACAAACCAATCACAATCATTATCAAACATCATAACCAATCAATTTAGTCAAACCAAACACGATCATCAAACCTAGAAGAACAACAATCATCAGTTTCTTCAAGCTTGATTTGGCTTCAGCTTTGGCTTCAGCCAATACGTCTTCTACCCTCTCACATATTTCTTTCTCTAGATCCATCTGGTTCCTCGCAAAACACACCTTCTCATGCTCCACAACTTGTTCAATACTAGACATTTTTGAAGCCAATGTCTCTATCTCATCATAAAGTGCCTCATCGACCCATTTGAAAACATGATCATCATCAATGAGCTGCATAATATTCAATCCAACAATGAGAAACAAATCTAAAATCATCATCATCAATAAGGTGCATTCCTTACCCTAAGCCTTGCTGCATAAGAACAACGATAGTAACGCCGGCCAGGATTGGGTTCTGACATAGAATTCTTCGCAACGATGTCAGACCCACACCAACACCTTTTCGGCACACCCCTAACTATCCCTCTTTGTCGACGATTTGATGTTCCACTCGACTATCCTGATGCATTGCTCATTGTTTAGCTTTGATTCGATTTTGAAAGTGAAGAAAAATAGAAGGAAAGGTTTTTAGGGTTCTTCGATTTGGGGATTTTATGAACAAACGATGAACTGGGTTGCGGGTTGGTTTATTACTCAGACCCTGGTTTCTAATTCGGTTTTGCTAATGAGTATTTTGGTTTTGTTTCGGGTTTATGAAGTTAACCGAGGAAACCAACAATTATGGGGAAAAAAGTTTCGAACTTTATAACTGGGGGGAAATAATTGTAGAACTTATTTTTGAGGGAGACTCAGAAAGAGGCTAAAAGTGTGGGTGGAACTGGTCGTATATGATAGTTCCTGGGGGGAAATAGATCGTCGTTCCATTTATATCAGCTAACAAAAGTTTTAACAAAATAAAAAATTAACAAGATAAAAACATTATTCATCACACTCATATCATGATAAACAATTACTTATGGGATAAACGTTTTTTTGTCATGTAAAATCATTTGTTATTCGATTATTAGGTAACAATTTAGTTATTACCATTAACTTAAACATTATCATATGTATTTATCATGATAATATAATTATTACATTTAAAATATGTTAACATAAATATATATGTTGCTAATTGAATTATTGTCAACAAATCAGAAAAGAAACTAATGTCATAACTATGAAACACTTTAGGGGTCATGTTTTTTTGGATGTCATCTCAATTATGACCATCACATACAAATTTTTCACCGTTGGTATCATCATCACTACAATCACGAGTAAAACCATCGCTAACAGTGTCACGTCTTTTCCTTCCAATCATCACTACGTTGAAAACATCATCATCCACATCACCGTTTTATTTCTAATTTTTGTATCATTTCTTCACTATTTCTTTCTTTTGCTATTTTTCACATCATATTATATGTTAAATGTATAATTATCTGATAAGTTTATATATTATTATTAATTATTTTTTGAATTGAATTATCACTATAACAAATTATATATTTATATATATAAATTTATATTTATCGTGGTAATTTAATTATCAGCTAACTAAATAATCCAGGGGTAAAGTTGTCCGAAAAAAGCAGACCAAAATATGAAAAGAAGAGGGGGAAAATGGCCAATCCCCCCATAAACTTAGTTGCTTTATCGTACATGTATACAAAACTTTGAAGTATGCTTAAAACTACATAAACTTAAATAAAATTTGAATTTTCTACATGAACAATCTAAATCCGGTCAAAACCATCAAATCGCTAAATGGTGTTATGTTTCCGTTAGTATATGATGACTAGGATGCCACGTGGGACGATCGAATGATCAAACGACGTCGTTTTATACAATCTGGGAAAAAACATTTAAAGTCAAAATATTACAAACTCAAGACTCGAACCTACTACCTCTGATTCCCATTAAGCAAACGTATTACCAGCTGACCTACCGTCACATATTACACAATGTGAAAAAGGTATATATATATCGCTTAAATTAGAATAACTACGAAAATAAACGGTTATTCTTTCTTCTTCTCCGCTTTTTGTTTTCTGATTTCTCCTCAACTCATTCCTTGCGTTTTCAACAGCTGAGATATTTTTTTATCAATAATTTTTCTTAATTTGAAATTAAGTCCTAAATCAATTGCACAGACTTATTTTAACTTAGGATGTGGAACTGAGATATATATAATCCAATTCAATTTTAAACAAAAAATTCATTTGCCTTTAACAAAATCAAGTTGAAGTATTAAAAGATTTGATTCATGATTTTTAACAAATTCGATTTAATTTACCAAAAAAATCCCAATCCTTGATCCAATCCATGAAAAATAAGGAAGAAGACCACATTTACAGTCATATGTAATTGAAAAAAAAAATCTTGTTTTTGTAAACCTGCGTTCTCTTGTATATATTCACTTATTTGTTTATGTTATTGCAAATGTTAAGTTAGGGCAGCTGGCTTTGTGTTTGGTAGTGGGCTTTAGAGACCCTTCTATGCCATAAATATGGCTCAATAATTCTAATATATATGCGTGTTTTGACCGAATTTAGATTTTTCGTGTAGAAAATTCAAATTTTAGTTAAGTTCATGTAGTTTTAGGCATACTTCAAAGTTTTGTGTAGATGTACGATATATACTTAATTAAAACTTTTCTGGGTCTATCTAGTGCTATTTGCCTAAATATAATTTAACATATATATAATTTTAATAATATGATAGAAGTACATTTTATAATTAATTTTACGAAGGGTAGTTTATTGCATAAAAGTATCATTAAAAATACAAGATTTTAAAGAACAAATTAATATAAAACATTATCATATCATTCAGTCGCCAAACTGTTCATATTTTAAAACTGATTCATACCGTCGCAGATTTGCGACTACATTTGGCGACTGTTATTGTAGTCTCCAAAATGAACGATGGTATGCACGGAAATTTTAATAGAGAGTTAATCCAATTAAAAAAAAATTAACGATATGTTCGAAATGGCCAAGTCAACAAAACTTCACTATCTTATCTGAGAGTCAAACAAAACCCAAAAATTTAAATGACAGCTCGAAAGTTCATGCCTTTTTCGTCATGAATTTGAAACTTCGTGATTTATTTTGACATTTTTCCCTTTAAAACCTTTATAAACTTCTAAAACCTTTTTCAAAACCCTTGTATCTTTAAAAAATCATTTAAAGCCCTTGTAAACTTCTAAAACCCATTTAAAACTCTTGTAAATCCTTTAAAAAATCTTGTAAATCCTTTTAAGTTTGTTTTAAATCATTTTATTTTGGCGGAATTTTTTTTTTTGTCGACTTAATTAATTTCATCAAAATGAGAGGAAAATAAAATAAAAATGGTTGATAAAAGTATTTTCGCAAAACATTATCTATGAAAAAGCATTAGTAACAATTTCTTGCAAAAGGATATATAAAAAAAATACTATAATTTTGGAAATGCCCCTCAAAAGAAATAATTAAATAAACATTTGAATTATTTTAAAATATGTTGACAGTTAACGCTTCAGCCTTCAGTAATCAATCAATGGAAAATATATACATAGGAAATTTTTCGATTTATCTCATTAGAAAATCTGTCAAGAAACCTTCTTTTACTCTACATCTTGTTTCATTCAAAATATGTTAGGTGCGTATTCCGGTTTATTAATTTCATAATAATCGATTTTCAGAATCATAGTCAACCCTTTCAAATGATTTTTAGAAAGTCAAGCTATATTAAAAAGGAAAACTAATAAGAGAGTTTTTAGTTAAGTACAACATTCAAAACCAGCATGTCCAATTGTGCACCGTAGACCATTGAAATTGTTATTGTTTTATTATGACAAATGCATGATTAGATGCTTACTGAAGACCGAGTAACACTTCAACGCCTTTGCTTGTTTTTAAAAGTGACACCAAATGGCAGAAGTTTTACTTTCTTTCATATTTGAATCCAACATGGAATATGTTAAATAAGATAATTAGTCTATGTGGAAGCCTCTTGTCCTTTTTTGGTGGGAGAGATGAGACCTAAGTCTCCATTATTAAAAAACTAAAAAAATTACAATCGAACATGTCGAGAGATCGTGATCCCCCGAGCATCGTCGTCCAAAATAGAAACCTGAGGACAAGAATCTAATAAAAAGAACCCCAGTGGGTGAGAAAAACCATCGTTTGCCAAACCATCCGCCAGGCGGTTTGCCTCCCGATACACGTGAGATATGTGGACTATCCAATCCTTCGAAAGAAAGCCATAGCACAAGCGTATTAGGAATGACAAGGGATGAGTATCCGTAATCCCTGTCGTAAGCCTCTTGTCCTAGTGGTCGAAAAAGTGTTTTAACACCATACTACAGATATTTTCTTACATATTAATGGTGCAAAACTAATCTAAGCTTTTTGATTAAAAAAAAAAAACTAATCTAAGCTTTTAGAGGGTTGCAAATCATACATTACGGTTTCATCGAGTGTTAGAAATAAGATGATCCCCGAGTGTCGTGGAAACTTTTATCATGATCGCATTTGTTGCATATAAATGGATCTAATAGACTGTATGTATTCTAATTCGGATGTGATCAGGAGTTACACCATCCTAGCTATTCGAGCATTTCGCATACTTAGTGAATAGCAGCTTAACGAGTTATAAACTCGAACGAATTAGATATCTACAACGACTCAAATTTAAACTTTTTGGTTATAAATCTTGATATAATTTTTCAAGTTCATCAATGATTAAACGAGGCATTCTAAAAACCTTTCAGTAAACGAATACAGTAAAACCTCTATAAATTAATAATGATGGGACTATGATATTTTATTAATTTATAGTGATATTAATTTATCTATAAATTAATATTTATTATTTTATAGTGTAAATTAATAATTATTAATTTATAGTGGTATTTCTAGTTTTTCAAATTTAAAAATATGAATTGATACAATTTTACAAAAATAAGACTAATCTTTTAAATTTTATAAATTATACAGTAGTTTGAAAGTGAATACTATATTTAGGAAAAAAGAAATTTGACTATAAATACAAATACTATAGATAAATTCACCTACACAAATGATACACATAAATTCAAATGTAAATTAATAACCTCAATTGTTATATTTTAACATCCTATATATAAAAAAATGAATATGATGCATATTTGTTTTTTTGTCAATAATATGATGCATGTTTAAAAATTGAAAGCATAAAGAAAATTTTGGTTATTTTTATGACTTGTGATGGTATATATTACAAGATTATTGTTTAAAAAAAATACTAACATAAAATTATTTATTGAGGTGAACTCTAGGAGAAAATTCATTTTTACAAAAAAAAACTAAAAACATATATTAACATATCTACTTATATATATATATATATATATATATATATAGTGATTATTAATTTATAATATTATTGTGACTAT